CACACATATAATATATTTATATTATTATATAAAAATATATTAAACTTTTTTAATACATTTATAAATTATTATTTATTAATTATGCATATGTAATATTAATTTATAAAATTTTATTTACATATTGTTATTTATATTTTATGAAAAATATATAAAATTTATATTTTTATTTATTTTATAAAATAAATTATAATATAATATAATATTTATGACATTAAAATATATTTAACATTTTTATTGTTATACATTTTGCATTTTGTCAACAGATCATGAAAAACTGAATGATCACAATGTATTTTTACATACATTTCAATTTTACTGAATTACTGTTAAACTAAATTAACAGGAAAAAATCTTAATTGGTTCTAAAATAACTAAATATATATATATAAATTGTATTAAAAGATTCAGTGTGGTGTTACTCAATATTGCCATTAAAAAAAACAGTAAGAACTTCTGAACTATTTTTAGTTTAAAGGAGTTTGCTTGAATTGGTAGAAACTTTGAAATCACTTGCTGGGTCCGACGACCCATTTTCATAAAAATGTTTAAAATATATATATTTTTTTACATTTCCACATGCTGTTGCACAAATTATCTTAAATGCAGGAAAAAAATGGTCATTGTGTATCACTGAAGTCTTTAGTGTTAATCAAAACAACATTATTAATTGTTGGGAGAATAATGCAAAATGCTTCCAAACAATAATAATAATACGTTTTATTTATATAGCACCTTTGAAATACCCAAGGACACTTTACATAAGGTAAATAACAGATAGTATACAACATATGAACGGCCAAACAGCAGTCAGAGGTGAAATAATATGCAATATACAAGATAAGTTACAAAACAAGCATAGAACAGAAAATTAAGGCAAGCTATCAATCAAGAAACATTGTAAATAAGTGAGTTATGAGAGCAGTTCTAAAGGTCTGGAGTGAAGAGATAACACGGAGATCCTGTGGTAGTTTATTCCAGAGCTTGGCAGCGGTAACGCACACTAGATAGTCAGAATTTAGGTACTGCAAGCAAATTTTCAGAGCTCAATCTCAAAGTAAGGGCAGGGACAGGGGAGAATTAATTCAGAAAGTTAAGAAGGTGCTAAACCATGAAAACTAAAACAAGAATCTTGAACTAAATACGATAGGTGACAGGGAGCCAAATATACTACAATACTCAGATCTATTTTTCTGTGCATGAATGTGTGTATGTATAATCGGCTGTTCTTGTGTTGTCAGAAAAACGGCAGTGATGACGGTGAGTTCGTGTATCACACCGGAGAGCAGAACTACCTGGACTTCGGCCGCATTTACACCTGGAAGGGAGAAAAGTAAAGACCCCGATTCTCCTGAATGCCCTGTTTAATGAAGCAGAGCTGGAGACGGTTGACTGCATGTGCTTTGTGTCTCAGGATGATGTCCTTCTGGAAGAGCAACCAGAGTAACATGATCAACGGCACCGACGGCAGCGGCTTCCACCCGTTCCTGAGCAAAGAAGAGCGGCTGAACGTCTTCACCCCTGACCTCTGCAGGTAGCGGCCCTCGTTTACATCCATGCACTCAGCAGACGTCAAGGTTATTAGACAGCTAGATTACTAATGCAGTCAGTGCTTTCAGAGTGATATTTATGCTGAGATTGAGACTTAAATATGTGCATGCAATGCCTTTTTTCCTGCTTGTTTTGCACTCACATCTTTTGTTATGTTGATGTAATAAAATGAGACGACGCGCGCTGAACTTTTAGTGGAAAAGAGACGTTCAGACAGTCCTCATCGCTGCTGAACAGCAGCTAAAACAGCTCCAGTTGTGCAGCACGAGAGAGATCGAAAATAACAGAGACGTATGAAGTAAAAGTGCAGAAAATTTCATGCACAGCTTGAACAGATTACAACAGGTACAGCTGTCAGCCGTGTGGATATTAACAATATCGTTACCAGTTCTCGTTGATTTGGCTTCTTGTTATCAGGATCTTCTGTGTTCTGTTAATGTGTGAACTTTATATTATTTGTAGTGCACAGTGATTGCAATAAGCTTTGTGTTCTGTTACCTAAATTTAATACACAAAGTATCAGCTTTAAAATTCTGCCAAATTCATAACGAATAAAATAGGGTTTTGGTGGTCTTTAATGTGGCATGAGTGATCTTAAAAAAATTATTTGGCACCTCTTTTTATTTCTTATTGAAGCCAGTGGCTCCTTAAGTGATTTTTGTTGTTGTCTGGAGCCCTGTCAGAGTAGAGCTGTGGCAACATGAGTTCTTGTGCTAACACTGATTTGTGAAAGAGCGCATGTCAATCATGTTTCATAAAAAGCTGAGCCTTTGTACAGGATGACTTTTGAAAGAGCGGCTGGTTGTATTTGATTCAGTGCAGTGCTGGAGCTGTTGTTCTCGTGTGTGTGTGGCTCTGCCGTACCTGTGGTTATTCCTGAGGGCTGATCTCAGTGTGTTTGGCAGCACATGTGTTTTCTGTTGTGTCCTGATAAAAACAAGACTATAAATCACATGCCATCCGGACCTTCAGAACATGCCGTAATATAATGGAAAAAACATCTGTTCAAGCCATTCCACGGGAACATCCTGAAATTCATCCTGAGTACATGCTGAATCCACTACTGCTTATAATAATTATGAATATTTAATATTAATATTTTTTGAATTTATATTCGATTATAAAATATACATTCCATATCAATTACATTTTTTATTTTTTTTAAATAACTGATAATATAATATAATTTTAGTATTATTTATATGCAATATATATATATTTTTTAGTTTAAAAACTTCAACTTGTAACATTAGTTTTATGTGCTTTCTTCATTTTTGTTAGTTTTTGTTCTTTTTAAAAGAAAAATAAAGAAAAATATTTGAAATAAATGAAGTAAGTTTAAGTTAAAGCACTAAAATGACTAACTGGAAATAAAAAATAAAATAAAAAAAGATCTCAAATGAAAACTGAAAAAAAAGAATTTATTTTAAATAGTAATATTTAATGTTTATAATTTATTTTATTTCAGCTTAATTTCAGTTTACAAATATGTGACCCTGGACCACAAAATTTTGTGAAATTGAGATTTATGCATCATGTGTAAACTGAATAAATAATCTTTCCATTGATGTATGGTTTGTTAGGA